CTCAATAATTATGCCAAGCAACACAGTTTGACAGGAAATCAAGACACATACCATGCCTTTCACCTTCAGGTCTCCCAGTCTCTGTTCTAATGTATACTAGCTCCAACCAAAGGGGGGAAAAGTCCCGTGGTCCCCTCCTTCCGTCCTCCCCCTGCCTCCTTTCGTCCTCCTCCTGCCTCCAGTCCCACCCGGGCACCCCAGATCCCCATCCCAAGCCTTTGCCTTCACCTCATTTGTCTTTTCTCTCATTACAGATTCATCTCTTGGCTCCTGTTTGCCTCCCACGGCTGTGTGACAAATCCCTTCTAAAATAGTGCTGGTGACTCACCAGTGGATACTTTTTTCATTATATGTCCCTGTCTCCCAACCCCCAAAGGGCATAAAGAGTTCCACAGATATTCAGTCTTTTTCTAAGCCCAATCATCTGAAAAAAAGGATTGCCTGTAATCGGGAAATAAAAATTTAGCTTGGGCTTTGTCTGAATCACATGCGTATAGAGCTGATACACTGTAGCTAGTCTTTGCCTACTTTTCCCATTCTTCTTTTTCCCACCCTTTATCTACCCCACCTCTCATTTTACCCCCTAACACTAGATAGGAATGAAACAAGGATAGAGGGGAGAGAGGAATTAGGAAAATCCCTGAATCTGATTCCTTTCCTTTTGTTTCTTCTTTAACCACAGCTACTAACAAACTGCAACCAACCTCCCTAAACAACCAACAACCACCACCCCCTGGAGCCATACCATTTATGCACCCTCTAAAAAAGTTCCCAGAATTCCAGTCAGCACACTCACAGAAACCATCTGCAGCTGGCAAAACCACGCCTCTGCTCGAGCACAAGGCAAATCACAGTCAGCTGCTGTGGACAGTGCAAAGCAGCCTCACATCCCTACACCTGGGATTAAAATGAAAGCGTGTCCTCATAATACTTCTGTGCTTTTTAAAGAAACCAAAATTCCAAAATTGTCACTACAATACGCAGTACTTTTCTCCCCCAACTCTCTCCTTTCTTGTCTCTCTCTTCCTGGAGATTATAGTTTCCAATGGGCTCTCCAGAACCCACAGCAGAAATGAGACCAAAATCTTACACAGTCAGATGTGCTGTTTCTTAACTACTCACCCCAGCTGCAAACCTCAAAGGAGCCTCAGTTTATCAAGTTCACTGCACACTCAGCAGGTAGCCAGACCATCACCACCTTGTGCATATTCCTACGCCTCTCCCCGGGTCCAATGCAGATCAATACACTGATCACCTATCTGGTCCCCACCATTCTCAACCCTTTCTTACCTTCTTCTAAGTCCGTGGTTCTCAACTCCTGAAGCTGTGACCCTTTAATACAGTTCTTTAACTTGTGGTGACCCTGCAACCAAAAGGTATTTTAAAAAAAAAAAAAGCCTTCATGACTGCAAATGTTGCTACTGTTATGAATCAAAATGTAAACACCTGTGTTTTCCGATGGTCTTAGGTGACTCCTGTGAAAGGGTCGTTGGGGGTCGTGACCCATAGGTTGAGAATCATGACCTAAGCAAGTTCTCTAAACTTGGATGCTTCATGTTGTCATTTGAGCCCCTTTCCCCCCCATTAACTCTTTCCCCCACCTCTGCCCCCACCCGCCCCCACCCCCGCCCCTGCCCTGCCCTTGCCCTGGTGCTCAGGAGCTTTCAAATCCAACCTCAAGCTATTTTCCTCTCTGAGCTCTCTACCCATCTCACCCATAAGCAGTTTCCCTCAGGTGCCTCCATGATTTCTTTACTGCAGTTCTTCTGGCAGGAGTACTTACCCTGCCATTTTTTCCTGGCAAGTTTGTTTTCTGGCTTAAAGACACAATTCTTATGTCATCTCTTCTGCAGAAACTTTTTTTTTTTTTAACTTTCCAGGAGTGTATTTCGGTACACCCACCAAACACCTTCCTATAGGTTATTATTCAATAGATCTTACTTATGTCATTTTCTCAGTAATAAAATCTGAGTCAGATCCCAAGGTACAGCTCTTCCCTTTGTGGTTTTTCAAACATTAAGCATTGGTGTGTGTGTGTGTGTGTGTGTGTGTGTGTGTGTGTGCGTGTAGGTTTATATTCATAAAAACTTATTGGAAACCTATCATGTTTACATATTATACCATATATTAGGTAGATATCAAGTACATAGGCCCAACTTCAACTCCTAAGACAAACCAAATATATTTCAGGGAAATATAAGGAACAATAGAAGACCAGAAGCTGATCCAGCCCTTGAGGGGAACCTAATCTGGACAGATGCAATCAGATAAGACAAGCCCTGAGTTTGGCCGTCTAAGAATGACTTTGGTGACTGTCACGGGCCTTTGTGACAGCTGAGTAGATCCTATCCCCCCACACTCTGCAGGAGCTCAATAAATACTCAGGAACTTAATAAATCAAAACAGGCTTGGGTTGAACTTAGCCTAGCCAGCAAATAATGCAAATCCTAAGATAGCCCCTATAAGTTTGATTTTCTTGTAGCTTGTCCAGGTTCTCAGTGGTAGAGGAAACTGGAGAGTAATTGTTCATCTGGGCACTTGGCACAGAACACAGCTAAGTCCACCAGGTCAAGTTTAACAGTCACTAAGTCCAGAGTCACCTGCTATTGTCTTCTTAGCTCTTGTCTTGCTCTTGATAATCTGCTTTCCACCAGTTAGCCATAGAATTCCCCCATAGACTTTAAAATGAAGCACACACTCAGTGGTCTCAGAGACAGGACCTCTCTGTGTCCCTCTGGCTCCCCTTTGCCCCTGTGCATCGCTATGTACAATGCCTCCATTTTATTTCTTGGGTATAGCAAATGCTTCAACTTCCTCAGCACATCGAGATCTTTCTCCCCATCAGTCTTTCATGCACGCTACTTATTCCCCTTGTCTGGAACGTACTGAAACAGGACAACTGTCTCATCCCTCTGGTCTTGGGTGATTTCCAAGAAGAAAACTGCTCTGACCTTCCTACATGCTAAGCCCTAAACAGATTTGCTCCAGCACACCCAAGGCTCTGCATTCCCAGAAGTCCACAAAGTACCCTGCGTACGTTTATGTTATCACACTGCAAACTTACTGTAGTTACGGGGCCACAGACAAGATGTCTGGATTTACTTCTGCATTGCTGTGCTCTGCAAAGCCCTGGGGATGCACAGGCAAGATGGGTAGGTGAAGGAAGCCTCCGATTCCCGAGTAAAGAGAAAGGGGAGAATTTACCAGAATGAAGGGGGGACTTTTTCTGCTTGCTGCTAGATTTTCAGCCTGGAACATATAAGCCCCTCAGTATGTGATAATTTAATAAATTAATTATAAAGTAGTAAGGGAGTAACATAAGAATAAATAAGAATATTGTGTCTACTTAAGTCATCTGGTCTTTATGCCTTCTTGTGTAGTAAGGTCTTGGGGAAACTGACTTCAGGAGAGAATACAGAACAACAATTCAAACACAGAACCTCATCTCCCACTGTTCAATATGAATTCTTCCTATCAACGGCCTTTAGGAAAGCTAATGAATCTTTTTTATGCCTATTGTTTTGTCTTTAATTGAGATTTATTGTGTGGTTAAGTGAACCATCATTAGCTAAGCAAGAAAGTATCCTTCATTACTTCTTAAAACCAAAATATTTGGCAAGCAAAATTCTTTAAAACTGAGAAATCAAATAGTATTTATTTCATTTGCTCATCTTATTACCATTAGGGTCCTCTAGGGTCTAGGAGTCATTTGGAAGCATAATACATAATTAAATCAGAAAATCAGGGATAGAGAGATGATGCAGTTGTAGAGCACTTGCTGGTCTTCCAGAGGACCCAGGTACATGTAACAGCATCAGGCATCTCACTGCTGCCTATCATCTCACTTCCAGGGAGTCTGATGCCCTCTGGTCCCCTTAGGCATTTGCATACATGTGGTACACATAACCTCACAAAGGCACATATACATAAATTAAAAATGAATTAATAATTTTTTTAAAGTAAAAAAATCATGCTGTCCCTCTCCTGTGACCTTGTTAGTTTTCTGTCACCTAAGGAAGGTGTTGCTGCTGGTTAAGCTCTTCGTGAACACATCTTTGATAATCACAGTGGACGAATGACAATGGGAAAGAATAGATGGCCAGACCTTTGGCTGGAGGTGACATTTTAGTGGTTTCTACTCTGGGTCTCAGTATAGACAGGAGTGAACTGGCTCACCAAGATGCCCTCAATGAATGTTCAAAGGTTCTTAGTATTTCTTGTCCAGTATCTCCTCAGGCATTCTCCTTCAACTCAACTACAAGGATGAGGCTAGTCCCCGCTCTTCGGACAGCTCAACAAACAGGTGTATATCGTCAGCTTCTTGGATTACTAAAACCATAAAATGGAGTAAACTCAGTCATTTATTGAAAACACAAGAAAGCATAAGTTTGTGATATTGAGTGATCAAATACTAAAATAAAATGCACTGTAAATTGTGATTTCACTGAGAGAGGACCCAGGTGACAATGTTTGGGAACATTGAGAGCCCATAGGTAGTAATGTGGAGCTTAGACAGTGGTAACCAGAGTGAGAACAATAACAGAATCCGTCCTCAGGTAATGAGGTTATTGCCTAACTCAGCAAGCATTGACTTTTCCTTGACCAACCTACCGAGAGGTAAGAGACGTTGCCTGAAGTCAAGCCTGAGCAGAACCACTCTCTGAGCCGTTACCCCTCAGAACGGGAATGTGGGGACAGCTGGATGATTTCTCACCACTTTTATAAATAATACTGTACTAGGAAACTGAAATAGATCGAGAATTGTCACTGGCACAGTAAAACTCTGTGACTTGCGTTTGGAGACTATTACAAGCTGAACTTAAGAGTGATGGAGGCAGCTTCCATCTCTAACAAACACTGGTCCAAATGGTTCTCACTGTGGAGATCAGAGGTACGAGGTGGGGGGCAGACAAGGAGAGAGAGATATCAATGAGGGAGAAATAAAACAAATGTTACATTACCTTTCCCTTTATATAATAAATCAAATATAGAAACCATCATCAATAATAAATATTTATTACTTATAATGTTTGAAATGAACATGAATGTCATCAAAAATAAAAAAATAACTTTATTTATGCAACACTTTCATTAAAAGTAAGTATAGCATAATTAGTCCATGGACTTGGGAACCGAGATGAGGTGCTTGGTGAGTGAGGAAACACTGTCCTGAGGCTGTTACCCGGACAGGGCTTTCGCTGTGCTGGCGGACCTCTGGGCTCGTGTGGGAACAGTTCCCGCCATGCTCCTTCTGGAGCTGTTCCTGCTATCCACAGTCTTGATCGCTGCTTTCACCCAGTTGGCTTGTGGATCAGCACAAATTTTTAGTTCTCGTTTGGTGACAAAACTATAATGTAAAGAAAAGATAATGTTAGCCCTATTGTCCAATGAAAGAGGATTTGTGCATAAATTGGCAGAAGAAGCCATCTTTCAGGACCGTCTGTGAGCACATTCATTCCGCTCTCTACTTTAATAAGGGACAGAGATCTTCAGGTGACAGCCAGTGCTTGGTGACTGTAATTCACCAGCACACCAAATACTGGAGCAAAAGTGGACTCTTAGGTCCGTCTAGTTCCAGCCCTACTTCCTTCTCCCACCTAGAACTACTCAAGTCTGTGGGAGAACTGGAGATGATTTTGCATGCGTTTCTAAGAGTGGAACTTGGTAAGTGTGCATTGGAGAGAGATTTTCCTTCTGCAAACGGGATTCTGGAGGACAGGGGTACCATGTAAGCAAATTCTGAATGTGTTCCTATGAGGTACAGCCACATATACGGTGCAGCACTCTATACATTAAGTATCCTACATTGGTGTGACTATTTGGGTAAGTCCTAGCATGGGCTGGCCAACAGAACTGGATACAATGTTCATCTGTTTTCTATGCAGACTCATCAGTTGAGCAAAAGAAGAAAATGGGGGTTCTATTCTTTTCTTTTTCCCAGTAATTGTCATTAGATGGGGCAGTAAGAAGACAAGATTAATAAAGACAGGACGAGCTACTGGCTAAGCTAAGATTTCCTCCACATTGACCCATTTTTTTCTGAGGACAGCAGAACTTCTTCCTACTCTATTTCAGGATAGGAACTTTGAGCTTTGAGCAGACACTTACATCACGGCTTTTATGGGTCCCTCCCTGATGGTATAGGTCTTGATTTTTTGAACTGGCAGCCGCTGGGTTTGAAAGCTCACACAGATACTCTCTTCTAGGACTTCAGTCCCCACACCTAGAAAAAGGAAACATAAATAAAACTGTAACTCAACAAGTGACAAGATCTGAGCCTTTTATTAAGTCAGTCTAAAATGTGATCAGAATATACCACTGCTTACTTCTATGGGAAAATGATTCATATTGGCACTCTGAGTCGCTTGTGCATTATAGATTGTGATACATGTCTGGCTAATTTTAAAAGCTATATTAGTAGTATTGTTTTAGGAATTTCATAGTAAATGTAACAAGGTTGATAGGCATAGTGGTACATTGCTTTAATCCCAATATTGGGGATCAGAGGCAGATGACTCTCTGAGAGTTCTGGGCTAGGCTGGTATACATAGTGAGTTTGGGGCTTGGCAGGACTGTGTAAATGAGACATAGTCTCACAAACAAACAGTAACAAGGTAGTATCCATCTTTGTATATTTTCACTAAGACAATTATGATAGCAGAATTCCCAGGAACACTCTCAACAGCTACTTACTTAGTGTGTCCTTTTGTGTTCCAAATGTCAAAGTCACTGATTCAGATGGGCACTGACCCTGATTTATGGAGTACATGCTATAGTGAGGGATCCAGGAAAGTAGAGAAACAGAAATCGTTTCAGATAAGGTGCTGTGAATCGGATCAAAGATGGGTGCGATACAGAGTGAACTGGGCAAGCTAACATTCAAGGAAGAACACAGTTCATATTTGACTGAATAAATAAATATGTTCTCATTTTTATTAGTCAAATGTGAAACACAGGTTGGAAGGGTTTTCTCTGGATTTCTTCTCAAAGGGATGGACCAAGGTAGCCAGTTACATTCCTATGTTCATAACTTGACCTTCCATTTCACAAGGAAAGATATCAAAGAGAATCCGTAGATTTGGGAGTTGGTAAAAATCCAAATAAGCAAAGTGTCTAGGTGCTAATTCCCTCCCTAGCCGGAGCTGCTGCTATGTGCTTCACAGCTGCAGAAGATCTCAGGTTATCACTGATAACGATCAAGTTTGAACTGTGGCATTGCTGCCACAGGAAGCCATTTGTCCATAATGTGCAACTAGAAGCTGTTTGCTTGCTCTGCTTTTCTTATGGCTCCTCTCCTTCATACTTCAACCTGTGCATTCCTTACCCGGCCAATATCATCCTATGCTGAACTACTCTGGACTCAATAGAAAAAGAGCTTCTAGCCTCTTTCAGCTTTCCATCACTACTTAAGAACGGTATTTCTCTGTGTCAAGTGTACATGGCTGCACAGGGCTGGCAGAGCCCTACTGTCTTCTACACCTAGAAACGTGCTGTTTTTCAGCAATGTTGAGGATCTATTAAAGAGTTTGTAGAACTAAGTCGAAGCAAAGATTATTTTTGTCCCATTTGGCATACACTAAAACACCACCAAGTTTTCCAAAACTCCTTTGAGTAGAAAACTTGCAAAACTGGAAGCAAGACCACACCTCCCCAGCCCACCCCTCAAGATCATCACCATGCCTGCCTTAGCCTGAGCCCTGCCAGATGGTACACCTGTCAACTCAACAAAGTGCTATTCCTTTAGCAGTATGTGACCCAACTGAACATTCTTGAAGGGTTTTTTTTTCGTCAATATTTCTTCTTTTACCCAATGTCAAGGATTTCCAGACTCTGTTTCCTTTACTCCCTTTATGCTCTTATAGAATCTATGATAAAGTTATAATATTACAGTCTAAGTGCACAGAAGAGGATACAAACAGATCTATAAGTCAACTCCAGCCAGTAGGAAAGGGTGACCCTTTAGGAAACATCAACTGATCACTGAGCTCAGTACTTCTACATTTTCCCTTGAGAATATCTTCCTGGCTCATTCGTCAATGTGAATTACCTGTTACTCTCTGTATCAAAGGCTGTCTTACAAACTCAAAAAGGCTATCATAAATGATAATATTCTCAACAATACTGGCAAGCTCCTCTATTTAGTTGAGAATAATATTGATTTTCTAGATATGAAGTTATAAACTTCTGGTCATTTTTTTGTTTGACTTTTTCAAGTAGAAAGCACTAATTTGCTTTGAACATATGTCTTTGAGAACATTCCCCACTGTGATAAAATTCTAAAAGAGTCTGATACTTTATCAAATCAATTTTAAGTAAACAAAAGCAAGGAACTCATTTGTAATCATTGACAGAATCAATAAAAATATTATTCTAAGGATATTTAATGAGCTTAAATAGTCATCAGTTTAAAAAAAACAGATTATTCCATTTTAGTTCCAGCTCACAGTGTTGAAATATATAGACAGAATATAGCATTCAACTTTAAATAAATAAGCATGAGTCCAAAATAGCTGAGTTGAAATTAGCACTTCCATTCTGTATATGAAGTTTGAGGCTTGACTGGAGAAAGCAGTTTATTCTAATCAAAACCTAATCAAACCTAGTACATGAGCCCACCTATTCTTTATCCCATTCACAGCTGCTTAGCTTACCTTCCACAACCTGTGTGGTGAGGCAGCAGAGTCCCAGGAAAGTCAGGAAGAGAAGTCTCATGGCTGAGGTCTTGCTGAGCTGTGCAGGAAGAATGTAGACCAGACTCCTCAGGAGCCCCTTTTATTTCCCTCAATGGTCAGCACACTTCCTGTGTTGAGAGGGGCTTTCAGAGTGGGTGTGGAATCATGGAAAGTCTTTGCAATGATGATGATTTTTTTTTTTTATTTAAACACAAGCTCCTTTGCTGTGTTCTAACCAACATGAGACCTTGTGGCCTTTTCTTCTCCCTGTGTGGTTAATGTGTCAATGAAACTCAATGTATGCATGAGAAGGTAGGTTTTTTTTTTTTTTACAGCTGTGAAGCTCAGGTCAGATCTTCCATCCTGAAGCCTGTCAGTGTCATGGCTCAGTGTGGTGACAGGACAAAGGAAGTGAGGCTGTGTGGTCACGGTGGGCCATCCCACCTGCCGCCTGTGACAGAAGGCATCTAGAACCACCGATCAGCCCCCGGTGCCCCTGCCTGACTCCACAGGAAAACAAAGACCATGCTGCTGCCCTGGCTTCTTCTTCCTTCTCATTCCTCCCCCTTACTCAGTTTACACCCCTGTATTCAAACTACTGGAGGAGGAACGACAGCATATCTCTGTGCATGCTTGCTGTTTGGGGGAAACACACATACTCAAGTATAGCTAAGCTTATTGAAAAACTGTTCTACAGTCTTATTTTAGAAAAAATAAAACCCATGAGAGAATAATTGTACCTTTCAAGGGAGCCGGAGGGGGGATTCGTGTTTAGGAGTGCCTGCTGCTCCTTCAGCGTTCCGTCCATCCTCAGCACCCACGTCATGCACTTCACAGTTGCTCATCACTCCTGAGAATCTGAAGGCCTCCTCTGATCTCCATGAGCACCTGACTACAGGCACTGGAAGACTCACTGACATACAAGTGGATAAATGAAATACAAGCTCTGGTGACTTTCCTTCCAGTGGTATTCATGTGTTCACACAATTATGATTGTTACAATTGCTATTTCAGCACCAAGTTAAACAGATGCTCCTGTTTCTTCTGTCTTTGCTTTTGTACTTTGAGCAAGCATACACACACTAACCAACCTTTCTGATATTCCATTTTAGTTTTGTTTCTTTATTTTATATAGTTCTCAATAAAGCATGTTTATTGATACTCTGTATCCTATAAGCTTTTGCCGTTAATGTTAGAAATATAAAAATAAATTATTATTTCCATGAGGATCATAAATTAATCTCTAAGAAAAATTTCATTAATGCCATTTAATCCAAGCAGTCTTCACTCTGAACTTTGAGAAAGAAAGTCTCAGGCACAGTTAATAGGAATGCTGGTTAGTATAACCCTTATGGAGAACAGTATGGGGCCCTCAGAATGATACACATTTCCATAAAGCACTGGGAAGAGAAGAAACTGATATACTAGTTGAAGAGAAATCCACCAATTGTCTTACATTCATTTGTTGCACGATACATAAACTCTGCTTCTATTTCTAAACTTGAATATACTAAAATATCTTTGAGTCTTCAAGTGCTCTAATTGAAAATACATTAATCAGTGGTAGTGGTACATCGTGCAATATAATTAATTGAATAAAATAAATAAAGTCATGTACAGGCCACTGTTGATGATGTACATAGAATTGTATGATTCAGATTAGCCTGAAACAAAAATAAATGTAAATACTCCTAATCAGTTGTCTGCATTGGAGGCTCTCTCACAAAAAGTGGCTCAGGAAGCTGGGCTGATTCTACTCTTCGGTAACGGCATCTCCTGCTGCCTGAAAGGACAAGACAGCATAGAAACACACATATCTTAGCCACCAGGAAGTGACGTGTATTCTTTGGTTACATTTCATTCGTGAGAAACAATTACCTAGTACCATCTACAAATAAAGACAGAAGGAGGAAATGGGCAATGTGGGTATGGGCATAGCTGGGAAATGCAATCAAGATTTGTGTCCAGAACAAAAAGTAAATAAAGTCTGCCATTCCTGCCATACCTGCTTAATTATGACTAACAATTAACTAATTATTTAACAAAGAATTAATTCAATTGTGTACTTAAATCTTTTTTAAAGAAAAAAGAAAGGTGAGTGAGGTAATTATTTTCTTTTATTCTTTGAAACATATCCCTGTATCATAGCTCTTAAGTTATAGCTAGTTTCATTTCTAAAGAATTAGGTTATTTTCTTTCTGATACAGTGTGATTACTATGAAGAAAGGTTAGACACTATAGAAAGTGGGGGGGAGGTGTGTGTGTGTGTGTGTGTGTGTGCGTGTGTGTGTGTGTGTGCCTGCAGAGGCCATGTATCAGATTCTCTGAAGCTGGAATTACAGATGGTGTGAACAACGTAACCTGGGTACTGGGAATCAAACACAGGTGGAAGAGCAACAAGTGCTCTAAACCACCAAGCTATCCTCCCATCCCCTAGAAAAGTTGTTTTGTTTTGTTTTTAAGTAATATTGGTCAAAATCCCATTACCCAGATGTAACTACTTATGGATGTACCTTTATCTTAGATAAGTATGCCCATGTACGTATATATCATCCTACACTCTCTCTATAACATTCAATGGCTCTAGATTTCTTTTGTCATATGTAAGAGCCATACAGTGTGTGGAACTTTGTGGTAAACACTGAAGGGTATTAATTAGCCTGCTTCATTCTTCAAGAAATATGATGCATTAAGTTGAATTCTTATCTACATTGTATAGATGAGAAGCTGTAGCTTGTAGAAATTGAGAGGTTAAGTCACCCCACATGCTCTTGCCAAGCTCAAGGAGGTAGAGGGGGGAAGATTCGATCCCACTATTGCCAGAATTCAGTGCCAAGCTACTACAGTTACTGAACTCCAGGTGATCTCAGACACAGTGTATACCCTTCCTCTCATTGTTCCTTCTTGTTCAATCCACAACCACACAGCAACAAGAATGCACATGCTTTAAAGCTGTCTGTGCTTATCATGAAAGATCACCTTAATATTCCTCCAGGAAATTTGCTTAAGTCTCCCCTTAATCTGAGACAGGCTGCTTTCCTTAAATGGTGTGGAGAGGTTAAACGTTGTAAAAGTTACATTGTCTGGAACACACCTGTCAATGCTCACAGCTTCTCTACTGATCGATAGAGACAAATTTGTGACATGAAACCCCTCCTCTCAGGGCTCAGGGAAGCCCACAGAACAGAAGGCAGAACGAGTGTAAGAGCCAAAGAGGATGGAGGACCCCAAGAAAGCAAGGCCTACTAAATCAACATGATCCAAACTCACCTGAACTCACAGAGACTGAGGCAACATGCACAGGGCCTGCCCAGGTCTGCACCATGTCTGCTGCATATGTGTTATGGCTTCCTGTTTAGCATTTCTCTGGTGTTCCTGAGTGTGGGAACTAGTGACAGTCTAATTCTTGTGCTTTCTCTTGGCTTCTTTTCCTTCTGTTTGTTTCTCTTGTCCTAGTCCAATGTGTTAGATTTATTTTTGCCTTATTTTATTAGTATCCCTTAAAAATATAATCAGTTTATATATACTGATAGCATATGAAACTCTTGCTTAATAGTTAAGTGTAACAGTGTTTAATTCACACCCCCACTGTGAACAGATATAAAAGGATCTGATTCTCTAGCCCTTACCAATATAGGATTTCAATAAATTAATTTAGTCATTGCTAACAAATATGTAATAGATGATAGATAATTCCTCAGTGCTGGTCAAGCTTAGCTGTTCCAACGTAAAGTTAATAATCTTTTATGAATGTCTTATGAATTCTTTTCGTTACTGCTCATCCATTTCTCTTTTTTTCTCCCTTTACATAAGTGCTTTCATCACAACTACGTTTCTATTAAATTTCAATTGACAGCATGCTAAGTATATATAAAAAAAATAAAGGTCCTATGCATATACATAGTTCACATGCATTAAAAGTAAAGGTCTGTCCTACACATATACCCTGTTTGCAATGGGAACCTCATACACTGCCAACAACATTCCATGAATGTTCTAACTGAAAAGTTCAGCCTTAAGCATACAGACACACTTTCCCTGTTTCTTGCCTGAGATCTAGAACGGGAATTTTTATTAAAGAGACATCTCCCATAGCTCTGACATTTGTAGGAAAGAAGGTCCTCAAATCTCTGTGGCACAGAGCACTCTTTGTTCACTCAAACCTTTTCTACACTGGGTCCCTTGTCAAGCAGGTGACTAATCATGAAGAAAGCTTACTGAAAATGAAGGGAAAAAATGAGAATGTCTAGGCTATGGCTACCAGGAAAGTTCTACCACAAATGGACTTTAAGGAATCCTTCAACCTCTGGGTGTTTCAGGGATGTGGTGATCCCATCTTTATATTATAAACTGAGTTTGTCAACATCATGGAATAAGTTGGAATGTTTTTGTGTTATGAATGTATAGCATATAGAGCTATATTAAAGACCCAGAAGTCCTATAGCAAACTATGGCCAGCCTAGCATTTCCTAAAGTCTATTGACTACAACAGCCATTCATGGGAGATGTCAACTGGAAACACATTAACAAACATTTATCAGTAGCATGGACTCTGTCTCCTAAAGTTACACTTAAATTGCATATGATGAGTGGATTGCTAAACCTAGTAGTGATGTCCAGACAGCAGCCTTCCCTGGAGCAAGAGAAACTAGAGAGAACTAGGTGGTGAACCCAACACTTGTGGAAGTGAGAACTTGATATGCATCAAAAGTCAGTTGGATTGCATATTTATTTATCTGTAGAATTCCACAGCCTGAGAACAAATCCTACTTTTGTTATATTTTTCCATGATGATGATGATGGTGATGACGCTGACGATGATAATGATGCCGATGACTTTGTAGTACCAGGTGACATCTAATTGCTCTTCTTGTGTTTCTCAGGGCTTAGCAAAATTCCTAATCTTGCTCTGTAACCAGAGGAGGTGATTGTTCCGGAAACTGTTAATAGTAAGTGAGCTAAATTGACTTTACGGTTTAATTTCCCTCCTTTTAATTTTACCTGGGATATTGGGAAAAGAGAAGTAATATTTCTCCAAAGAAATCGAAAGTTTTATAGGAAAAAAATCACTGATGGTCAACCCTGTAAAATTATATTCACTAACTT